TAAAGTGAGTAGCATGCCATGGAAAAACCAGTAATTGTCAAATACAGATTCTTATTGTCAGTATTAGCCCATACGTCATTTTTTGCAAAAAAAATGTATTAATCAATATGCCACGAAATCTTACTCGCGAAGAATGTGCTCAAAGCTTTAATATTGTTTGAAGAGGGTTGGCGTTACCGAAGAATTGGTGAACGTTTTGACGTAACTCACACAACCGTTTCACGAGTTATACAAAGATATAGAGAATGGAAATCATGATCGTAGGCCGGAACAAGGAAGAAACCGAATAACTATTTCGATTCAGGATCACTTTTTAAGACCATCAGCATTAAGAGAACTTTTTGTAACAGCTCGGACCCTTTAAACCCAGCTTCGGGATGCTAATGGTTTAGAAGTTTGTACAGAAACTGTTCGTCAGCGACTAAAGGAACATAATATGCACCATATACAGGGTGATTCAAAATTGAGTGCAAAGTTTTTAAGGGCGTATTTACCAGATAAAAATAAGAAAAAAATTTCATATAATCATGTCCTAACTTGCTTGGTTTTCTAGATATACGGTGTCAAAGTTTTTTAAAAAAATCAGTTTTTTTATCAATTACTCAAAAACCTTTTAGCCGATTTAAACAAAATTTGGTAGGCTTATTTGTCGTCATAAAAGCCTTTCTTTGGTGAGTACAAAATAAATTTATTCATTCCAGTGGCGTTTCAGAGGGTTACATACTTGATACTTATAGGTAAAATGATGGTACGGCACTGCTTTTTTGACAATTAATTTTTTTTTAGATTAAGCGGTCAATAATGTATCTTTCTTGCCTTTTGAGCTTTACACGTATTTAGCTTTGTTTAAAAAAAAAAATATCAAAATCTGTGCCTAGCCCTATTAAAACAAGTAAAAAATTAATTACTAAATGATGGAGATTGTCGCCAAATAGGTCTGTCTTAATTTTAATTTGTGTTATGAAATTGCATTCATTATTTATTCCAATGGCGTCTCAAAGTGTGATTTTATTTAATTAATAATTGTTAAAAAACCGTTTTGTTTTAAAAAACTTTGATAGAAAACGAAGCAAGTTAGAACATACGAGTATAGGAAAAAATGTTCTTATTTTTGGATGGTTAATACGCCCTTAAAATCTTTGCACTCAATTTTGAATCACCCTGTATAGAGCCTGGATTTTTGTTGATGCAAGATAATGGCAGGCCTCATGTTGCTCGAATTGTGAGAAATTACCTAGAGGAAGTCAGTATGGCTATCATGGCATGGCCAGCTCAGAGCCCGGATTTAAATCTCTGGGATACTCTTGAGAGAAATTACAAGAGGAACGTAATCTGAACTCTCTACACACTATAATATCTGAAAATATTTTTCTATTTATTTTAATAATAAATTACAAATTAGTAAAGAAAAATGTATCTCAAAATGACTGATTTGGAGATGTTACACTTTTGAACTGGGATAGCGATATGTGAGAGTCTTAAAGCTACAATTTTAATGATTTGTATATTTTAAAGGAATTGTTTTTTAAATACATCTATTATCTTTTGTAAAATACATATTAATAATAGAAACATATCTGAACATAATATATAATACACAAGTTTAATAAATTAAGTTTTCGTACATATTGTAGATAATTCATTTATACATTCCTGTTTAAATAGAATAGAATAAATAATAGACAAGCTTTATTATAATTATTTAAGTAATTAATAAGATTTATATATGGAATGACAATACAATTCAAATTTTCAATCTTTTTTTGGCAAGGTTAGTTAAAGAACCTTTTAGGTGGTTTATTTATGAGGCACATCTTGTCAAATTTTTACCCATAATTTTGAAATGGATCCAGTTTTCTGCATCTTCTTCCACCTAAAAAATAATGCAAACTAATTAGTACCCTCAGAATCAGTGTTTAGTAAAAAGTTAGGTACCTATATTGAATAGGTAAGTTTAATAAACTTATATCATTTGAAATAAAAACAATTCAAGATTATCTTTACTTACATCAAAATAAATACAAAAGCACGATGGTGGTTTGTATTTTGCAACAGCCCTTAGCCCACTGTTCATAGGGACCAAGTACTTAACCAGATATTTTTAATGTAACGCAAAATAAAACAAATGTTTATTTTTATCACACTTTTTAACACATTCGCGGACACATATTTTATGGTATATGCATAATAATTGGACAGAAGCGGCATAAGCCGCAACATATATTATCTCAGTAGGGACACTGACGGCAACTGCCGTCAAAGGCTTAATGCGTTATAGATACATTTTGCGCGATATAACGTCAATTTTGTATATAGAACTATGAAAAGTGTCCCACAAGACACCTGTATGATAAAAATTGTTTGCGAAATGTCATTGGTGGGGGGAAAAATTTGGTTCGGCGATAGACAACGTTTTGGCGCGTTTAGTTCAGATTTACGCATTGTTAGGGACTGTTTGTGCTAAATACTTGGCTTAGTACGTATCTAAAATGGACAAAGAGCAAGAACAACAACTACTTAGGTGGTATGATGAGTTTGACACGAAGGTTGAAGGGTCAGAATCGGATGCTAAAAACGCACACGATCCATATAGTACCGACGATTCTATAGATGATCCTGAATACACTCAAAGTAATTCTTCATATTCTAGTGCTCGAAATTTCTCCTGATCAAAAAGATGGCGGGGAATTTGTTAAAACTGTACCAAAACGAACTAAATTCATGCCGTCTAAAAAATCTAGGAAGAATGCTGGTCATGTTCTTGAGGCCATCCCTATACCAGAAGATTCTAAAAAAGGGGGGAAATATTCTAAGCACTGTAAGCATTGGTATATGATAAAAAAAAGAAAAGAAACTGCTTGGCAGTGTCGGGATTGCGTCGACAAGCCACCCATTTGTAAAAGAAAATGTTTCCAGGATTGGCATAAATAAGTGTCTTTATCTCTTTTTTGCTATTTTTACCAAAGCATTTTGTATTTATTTACTAGTTTTGGTTCCATATGAATACATATTTTCTTTAAAATTGACGTTTTTCATTTTTTTTTGCGGTATATGACGTCACTGTCATTTTGAGAATAAACTATGCTTTTCGCAGGACATGCCGTTATATGACGCAGTGGTTTTTATTTATATTTCTAAGTCTTTGGAAAAATGTGATTATAAAGCTATATGTTTCGTTTATCTGCGTATAATAGTACTTATTCTACCACTGTGACAATTTGAGCACACTTGACTATATTTTAGTGCCCTGTTGAAACAAAGGCCAATGACGTGATTTCACGTCACTGTCCGCGAATGTGTTAAAAGCAATTTCAATGTTTACCACAATCGATTTGAGGTTATTTTGACATCATGAGAAATGAAAACATATTTTTTAATCCGATTTTAGAAGGAGATAACTATCATAAATGGCACTATTAGAAAAAGATAACGATCAACTGTATGTGTTATGGTATCACAGATTCTTTAGTGACCAATAGAAATAGACGCTACATTATGACGCAAAAATAGAGGATTTTAAATAATTGATTTAAAAGTGAACTTTTTAAAGTAATATAACTTTAATATTTATTATCTATTTAAATAATTTATTTCATGACAAAAAAAACTTTTTGTGCCTAAACAGTTAATAGCATTAGAGTCGTTAAATTTGTTTACACTAAACACGTCCCTTGAACAGAAAAGTATATGGGTGATTCTCGCCTAACTGTGATTTTTTATGTCCAGTGTTTTATTTATCGTTTAGCATAACTTTTCCTCATCAAAAAGTTAATAATATTATAAATTTAGAGGTATTTTACAACCGACATTATGAATTAGATCATAAACCTTCGTAATTTTTTTTTAAGCTGCATATAAATATACTCGAAATGTCAGTACCGTGGTATGTCCGATTCTCATTTTTAAAATTAAATATATAAATTTCTATCAAAATTCATTTTTTAATATAAAATTTACCTCTTAGAACTACAATCTAATGCATACTGCATTGAATTTTATTGCAATTTTATACCAATCTTTGGATTGGTAAAAAAAAATAATCATTTATATGTCAGTACCGTGGAAATAATGTCAGTACCGTGGCATTAAAATTTTTAAATTTTGTCACAGCATTCGTTGTGTCGTAGCTGTAGTAGAACCACTTTACAGGCTTATTTCTAGGCATAAATAGAAAACAAAAACGCGTAAAACATACGTTTTGAAACATTTTTAATTTTAGAAAAATATAAGTTGTAAAAATCACAGGCGAGAATCACCCATTTAGATTCACCGAAAATCTCAATTTACATTTATTGAGAGAGGTTTATAGTGGTCGTCAACGCCTGTGTCCTCCAAAATTCAAAATCCAGAATTGCTTTTATTCTAAACAACAAATAATTTTTGTTAAACATTTGTAATACTAATAGTCTAAAAAGTGTACCTATTACTTTGACAATTTATAGGTAGTATTTATTATATTTGTCTTAATTATATTATGTACACATATGTAAAAAAGAAATTATACATATATTTTAATATATTTATAGGTTATTTTTTTCTATTTTATATATTTTTTCTCTTTTACTGTTCAACAATGCAGCGGCAAGTAAATGTCACGATAAGTTTAAAAATGCAACTCATATTTTGGACTTCAACGTAAACGTTTTTATGCGTGTGCGTCTACGTTAACGTTAACGTTAACGTACTGAAAATAACTCAACTCCCTATTATCTCAAAAACAGAAAGAGATATTTTATTGTCTCATTTTTTCATTGTAAATACCCTAAAAACGTGTCCATATAATGTATAAACCAAAATAGCGCATGTTCTCAAATAACTGAGATACGAGGTTTGTCAAAAACGCAACATTTTTTTTGCAATTATTTCTTAAACCAAAAACAATTGATAAAATTTAATAGCAATTCTAAAATGGTAATATAATCTTGAGAAGCATTGTTTGTAGTTCTTATAATAACCATCTGGGGCACAGTCTACAGAAATTAATACAATATTTTTTTTACAGACAAAATGAAATTTCCTCTGTTAACTGCAGTACTTTTCCAAGCCCTAGTTTCCACAAAATCAGCAGCAATTTATGATCAAATTAAAGCTCTATCAGATTTACACCCATCAACGCAAGACAATCTTGTTATATTCGACAAACCCTTGCAAGAACCTAAGAGAGATTTTCATCTACAAACAACAACATCCAGTCAAGAAATAGAACCTACGAACTCCAAACCCAGTGTATTTACAATAGGATCAGTTGTAACATCTGTTTTAGCAATTTTAATACCTTTAAAAGCTTGTTACTCTTCAGACAACTGTAAACAGTACGTTTTAGATTTCTTTACTCTTAATGACAGGAGAAAGAGAGACTTGGAATACTTGGAAACGATTCTAGTTGCCTTATTGGACAATTTTGTCGAGCACGATGTACAGGAAGATCGTAGTCACGTGCAAGAAATTGCTCGCCCCTCGTACGCAGAGCCTCTACTAGTCACTTTAGCTAAATACTTTGATAAATATGCTGATAAAACTGTTAAGAATCACGCAAAGGCTTTGGTGTTCTTCTTGGTGCACGTTTTAGGGAAAATATTTGGCATTTTTCAATATGTCATTAAACTTTTTTCGCAATATCATATTTTATGATTTACAATAGTTTAAAAAATATAAATATTTATACAGATTAGATAATATCTAGAATTCGCCTAATAAATAATTATGTAAGTAAATGTTTTTTAATAGTATACCTACTGTTTTATTTCCTAAATTGCAAAAGATGAAAGATCGGTAATATTTACCCAAAAATTTATTTTGTCACAAGAAATAATTATGAAATGTATAAATAAAAAAAAATATATTTTTATACATTTGTCCTTAAAATGATATCCTAGAGCTTTTTTAGTTAGGACACTAGATAGTTAGGTTAACAGGATATATATACAAAATGGCGATTTGAAAAATTAAATTTGAGATCTTTCTAAATGAAAAAATATTATCAGGGCACGAAAAAGTAGTTTTTTTACGAACACTGCCCAAAGTAGGCTTTTGCGCTTTGAAATACAACCGCAAAGTAGACATTTTCCGCGAACTGACATTAAGTGACACCTTTGTTGCTCGCCTAATTTAAATTATATATAATATAATAATATTTCTTTCTAATAAATGTTTGATGTTTTATTGTTTTATTACCAAAGTTAACATTGACTTTGAATATTAACTCCGTTTTCATAATTAACTTAGATATGGGCAATATATTATAGGTACACAACTTATGACAAATTTTGCTTTATTAAACTTATGTTTTTTTAAATGGAACACCTTGTATATTTATAGACTATAAAATTTGTCTTTTTTAATTTTTCAAAAATACATAATAGTATGCACTTTTCCTTAGAAATACGCAAATAAATGACAATTTTCTAAAATTAAATACATAATTTAATAGTAGGCCATGTTTATGACAATATCCAAACATAAATAATATAGTATTGTTAATGCAAGTACCGATGCACGTCATAGACCATTTATGAAGTACAGCCTTGCAGTGTTGTCTTATCATCAGAATACTCGAGGAATGTAGAAAGTTTTAAGTTTTGAAATTGTAAGGTTGTTTTCTTTTTATTGTTACCAGAAATAATTATTAATTTTAAAAGTATATAACTAATGGAAAATATTGAATTCCTTTATGCATAATAAACAAAAATGATGTAAACATATTACAAATAGTCATGGAAAATAAAATTGCATAGAAAATATCTAAAACTAATTTCATTTCTCCAAGAAAGTTATTTAACTACATTTAAGTTATAAAACCCAAAACCCCATAAAATTAAAGAGATCATTGAAAACATGCAATCTAAAAAGGCATGTGGAGAAGTTACAATATCAGAAGATGGGCCGATAAGAGGGGGGTAGCCGGGACTAATTCCCGGGGGCATATTCGTATCAAGCGTCCAGTATCGCAGGATCACTTTTTCCGAGTTCCCTCGAATCCGTTCAGGTATACAGCGCGCGGGAACGCATTGTTCAGGCTTTTCGCGTGGTACTCAGCGTTCGATATCGCAACATATTGACAAGATATGCGCCCCCTAAGTAATATTTTTAAATTTATGTGGCATATAATCCAAAACACATTCGCCTTAAAGTTTTATTACAAGTATAAACAAAGTAATTTTAATGTTTTTTTAAGAAAATACACAATTTGCTTATTTTAAAAACTTATTTTCTCCTAAAGGTATATTTTTCTCCACGCACAGTAGTAAATTGTGGGGTACTTTTTAACTAAAGAAGAAACTTTTCGTCCACTTTGCACTTTTCTACGTCCACATGCATTATTGGATGAAGAAAAATATTCATATTTTTTATTCCTGCGCCTTTTTTTGAATTTTTTTTCAAGTCGTTATGATACACCTTGTATATTTGAACAAAAAAGGTACACTTGTTTTAATAGCATAAATTCAGCCCATATCGAGATATTTGCATTTAAAATATTATACTCATAGTATTTATTATTGGGTTATACTTGAAAACATAGAAATAACATTTGACTCAAAGTTATTAAGTAGAATATTAATATTTACAGGTCCCGAATCTATGGTTAAAATATTGACTATTCCTTATGAAACACCCTGTCTAGCCCCTATATTAAGGGCTAAGATTTGGTGGAGATCATTTTTAAGGTGCAAATTAACCTTCCCTACAATAATCTGTCACGCTCGAGTATTTTTACGGTATCTATTTGTTTTAAAACTTTGATTGGCTGCCCTACAAATACGCCCCTGTGTTAAGGGCAGAAATTTGGCAGATATAATCTTTAAGGGACAAATTAACCCCCCATCCATTAATCAGACGCGGCGCTCGAATGACTTTAAAAATCTCCTCTTGGGCTCCCCTACTATCCCAGACAGCACAAGTGAATCCATTGGATGTTCATCGGAAGTCCATTCATGGACATATCGGCTGTCCAAAGGACGTCCAGCATTTTACCGAAGGACATCCAATGGACATCCACTGAACTATACAAATGTCCCACTCCTGGACGTCCATTTGGACTCCATGAAAGGTCCATATATGGACTCTTTTTGTATTGCTTTTGGACAATTTATGGACATCTAACGGACATCACCACCTACATTAATATGAAATAAAATAATTGCAACTATACCTATTTTTATTGTCATAAATAATATCAAGCATGTATTAGTTTTATACGCACTCGTTTCTGTTGACCTTCTCAGCCATTTTCTTAAGGCTATTTCGCTTACTTTTTAAGCAGCATCATTGTCACTCTCAGCAGCAGCTAAAAAAATACATTATATTTTATACGAATATTGAGTCTTAAATCAATCGTTTAATACACGCCTGATCAGGCAAAATTGATAGTTAAAAATGTAAAATTTTTAGATAAAATGTTATTAGCTAATATGAAAATATGCATTGACTAATGTACTTTACCCCTATACTTACATATAAATAAAAAACTGCTCATTGTTTCTTTAAATTACCATTTTACTTTCATACCATCATATTATGTGAATTCTTTCGTGAGGGTATTAGAAATTATGGAAACAAACCATCTTTTTATAAGTTCCTCATGTCCTTGTCCCTGGTTTTGGTAACTGCTGAATCTAAAATTGAAATAAAAATATGTATTTGTGAACATTAAAGAGAAATAACTTATAAAACCACTTTCAATGCATTATTTCTTAAACGTTACAAAACGATTCTATTTTATTTAATAAAAGTAAAACTTACAGCTTCTTTAAAAATATTTGTATCTTCTAAATAGCCTTTTACTTCTGCTAACGTCTCATGCAGTACAAATAGAAACTTTTCTTCTGCTTTGAAAGTTTTGTGACCTCTTAGTCACAATAATAATTGTGTTGACATCATCTCGAACTTGCAGCATATTAGTTAGCTTTTAGTAAAGCCATTTTCTTAAATAGGTAGGTACATCGTTTGACGAAAGGTCTAAAAGAAAGGGATTCTTTGAATGTAAATCAAAACATAAAGTTTAAAACATAATTGATGGGTTATATTAGTTTAAAACAAACAATTTGATTTTTAATTTTTAGATTTTTAAATGATTTAATGTTAATTATACTTATTTTCTTAATAGATAAACATCTATGTGCTACATATTGGCTGTGTTTTCTTCTTAACCTCTTTCTTCTTCGAGTCTGGCCTGAGTGGCCTTTTACTTTTCTATCTTGTCAACAGAGGCGAGTGGAGAGGAAAATTAATTGATTTATTTTAATTAAAACGTAGTAAATAATTAAATTATACAAGAAGAATTATAATAATTTATTATAAGTTAGTCATTTTTATAGTGTCCATCATGGACATTTTTTGGACATCCATTGGACTTCTGAATGGGTATATCCATTGGATAACGGAAAACGGATGTCCAATGAATATACATATGAAGTTCATGGACATCCAGGACATTATTTGGACAAAATATGGACGTCCAATGGACGTCGTGTGCTGTCTGGGATAAATCTTGATCGCTATCCAATACACTGATGAGAAGAGTTGTAAATCAAATAACTAAGCGGTTACCTATTTTTTAAGTACGTACATACATGGCAATTTAAAAGCTTACCTCAACTTCTGATTGTAATGTTATTTTAAGTTTTACTGTGTCATTTTTATAACGTAGGGAAAATCTGGCGGCAAACGTTTTTTTATTTTTTTAGAAGTTCAGCACAAGAGGGAGGACTTTTTTTTAGATATTTCACTGAAGAGGAGAAGTTTTTGTTTTTTTTTATTGAAAGGGCCTATAGATCAGAAATGCTTCAACTATAGACTGTTCTATAGTGTTCCATTTAAAAAAAAAAACAAGTTTGCTTTATAATTCAAAAATAGTTATTATGTAACAAAAATTATCTACACCGCTGCATTCTACGGAAAAAATCTATAAGAATATTATTTTACCTTTTCCATAAGTTGAAGGATAACGGAGATACGAGGGGGGTCCGAAAATGCAACATTTTCAAAAATGCCCTGTATCTTAAAAACTAAAAGAGCTATGAAAATTTTGTTAGCAGCATCTTTAGTTTTACGAAAAAGTAATAAAGTGCCGCGAAAACCACAACCCTCTATCTATAAAAATAACGGAGATACCCCTCAAAAGTACCCAAAATGGAACACCCCCAATAATTCGAGTGGATATAATGGCCCTTCCGCACGAAAACAAAGTTTAACCACGACGCCATAGGCAGAGTGCTCACAATTGTCTAAGTACGTTACGGATAATTCACTCGAGTTGTACAGCATATATTTTCTACGTCCCACTAACGAAAATTAAAAAAAAGGGTATTAAGATAAAATAACTATTTTAAAAATCACTTATGACTTTTCCTATTTATAAAATATAATAAAAATAGAAAAAATAAAGATTTTAATTAGTCTTCATCCTGGATTTGCATAGGAATTGCGCTAAGAAGATAAATATTTTTTTTATTTTTATTACTGATAATTAGATTTATTTTAGACAGTTTTGTTAAAATTTATGATTTATTTGTAAATATAGACGAATATCTTGTGGAATGCTGCTATTTATCGATTATGCACAAGAATCACTCATTTTTAATTGTATTTAATTTAAATAACTAAAAAATATACTAACAATTAGTTTGACAGAATTGTCACTTAATTGTTCTTCACTTGTTTTTT